ACTGCTGCCGTCCTCCAGGGGCCTGCAGGAGACATTCCAGGTCAAATCATGCCAGTTGAAAAGCTGTGGTCTACTGATCTGTCAGTTCACATTCATTCTTCTGAATTGGAAATATTTTATAGTTGAACAGGTGCTAATTTTTTAAATTAAGGGAAGTCAGTGGGGAAGATTGTTGCAGCATTAATATGAGAGTCAGATCAGGGAGCCCTGCTAATGATGACTATGGGCTCCCCACTCCACTCCCCCACAGTGGCCTCCATCAGTGTTTATAATACCAAGATGGTAATGGCAAGTGTGATGGTGGAAATGTTGTGGAAAATCATTCATAGACCCACGCCATGCAACCCCCTCGTGTGCTCTGCTTTTCCATTTGGCCTTTCCCCACAGGCCTACAAATTGTTCCGTAATTACAAACCACGATGTTCATGTTTCATACTTAGTGCATTTTCATACTTAGTTCATTTTCTTCTGCTGGCTTATTTCATGAGGCAATTCTTAGTCAAGAGTTTATTGGATTAGGATGTGACCAGATCTAATTTCTATGACTGTTTGTTGACTTTTCTGAGGGTAACATCCATCTGCTGCCTGCAGTGTGCAGACATTCTTAGCTCTAGAAGTGGTGCCATTCTCTTAAATTTGAAAGTAGAGCTAGTGCCCCTGGATAGTCTGTAGATTTTATTTTCAGTGATAGGGATGTTCGTGTCTATAAAGTACGCTGCCCTTTTCATTCTGCACACCATCCCTAGCCACTGTTTACTGTGAGCTTGAGTCATGTCACAAACATTTACCTGCTATCAGTGCTGTACCTCCAGAAAGCTTTCGTGACTTATGTTTCTTTTATTATTTTAATGGGATTTAATCATGTGGAAATTTGCCACAGTCTCACACTTTCCTACACCCCACCTCCTGGATACCTCACAAGAAAAGATGATTAAGGGGGAGATGGATCTGAACATCCTGCTCTCCAGAGTGTGTGTGTGTGCGCGCGCGCGCGCGCGAGAGAGAGAGAGAGAGAGAGAGAGAGAGAGCGCGTGCACGCTTGCAGGTGTAGTGTGTCCTTTAACTATTTAGATTGATTTTTGCCTATTTAATCCCCCTCAGATTGTTAACCAGCTTGCTTACCACTATAAGGTAATTCCACCTTTCCTGTTACCAAGTAGATGCTTTATTTTATATCTGTGAGTTCTTGGAGTTCATGGTCGAGGTCTGATCATTGTTTTGGATGCATATAGAGTAGCTTTTAAATTCTTCTCTGCTAGGTCTGCGAGTATCTGAATAATTTATTGCCTTTTAGGAAGCCAAAATTAGCCAGTCTCTGTCTGTCCATTTGTCCATCCATGTATGTGTGTGTGTGTGTGTGTGTGTGTGTGTGTGTGTGTGTGCGTGTTAAGGTAAAGAGTATTAGTGTCAACTGTACAGGGTTAGTACTTGATGTGGTATGCCCCTCTGTATGTGTGAATATGTTTTATTGCCATTGGTTAATAAAGAAGCTGATTTAGCCAATAGCCAGGCAGAATGGAGCCAGATGGGAAATCCAAGTAGAGAGACAGGGAGAAAGAAGGGGGAGTCAGGGAAATGCCAACACCCACTGGAGAAGCAAGATGTGAGGTAACAAGCCACAAGCCTTGGGGCAGAATATAGAACAATAGAAATGGTTTAATTTAAGTTGTAAGAGTTAGTTAATAATAAACCTGAGCTAATAGGCAAAACAGTTTGTAATTAATAATAAGCCTCAGAGTAGTTATTTTCAAAGTGGCTATGGGACCAGGTGGGAGGAGAAACCTCCAGTTACAGAGACTTGGCTAAGGTCTGCCTTCACTCTGTGTTTTCCCCATGAGGTGAGATGTCAGGGACCCTGGACACTTTGGAGTCATTTGGGGTCAGGTCTAGTTTCTCGTGTCCTCACAGCCGTGAGTGTGGGAAGAGTATGGGCAGCTGGCTCATGAGTGCTCAGTCCTTTTTCTGCCCCTGAAGTTTTGAGTTGCTGATTCTTTGCTTTGCTGAAGACCATTGTGCCCTGTTGTAGAGGACAAGTTTAGACCAGGCTGGAAAAGAAGTATTCCTGTTGTTCTACAGTGTAAGCTGTAAAATACATCTTTGGGTTTCTGGCCAGCAGGAGACAACAGGACCCCAAAGGAGAGCCCAAGGCCACCACCATTTTTCCCTTCCTGAGACTCGTGGCAGAAAGCTGGAAAATAGGGTTTTTTATTGCCGTTGAAATGGTTTCACTTTCTGTGAGTTGGGGATGGGGAAATCAGTACCATCAGGAGGCCACCCCACCCCAGGGTCTGAGTTGTCATTTCAAAGGAAATGAGATGATGCTCATGCATTTTCTTGGTTTGTAAGTAGCAGAAGGGGCATGCTGTATGGGTGTGATACCTTGTGCCCTGGGCAGTTAGAGAGTGTGTGGCCCCTGCAGGCCAGACTTGCTCCTAGTGAGGTGCCAAGTGTTAGGAAGTCACTGCACGCGGGGGGGGGGGGGGGGGGGGGGGGGGGGGGGGGGGGGGGGGGGGGGGGGGGTTTAATTAGGTCTTGACTTGCAGTTCTTTGATGAGGGTTTGTGTAGACAGAGTTGCTTCCTGTTTGGTCGTGGGGCTTATGGGGTGAAGACATCACCCTGTATAGGGAGAACGTACTACACTCAGAATGCTATTTCCCTGTGGGGTGGTTTTCTGTGTGGGTCTGTGTTATCCACGTTGAACTGGCTAGAACTGAAAGAGACCCGGGATTTGTATTGTGATGGTCATCATGGGATAATCATGGAGGCCTGGAGCTGGGACATATGGTGAGTCAATACTGCCAGTCCAAGCAGACAGTGTTTGCTGGTGAGAAGATGGAGGGGGCTTAGAGTTCTTATCCTCACTGGGCCAAATGGTGGCCATGGAGTGCCATCTAGGAGTTGTGAGCATCTGGATGCTTGTGTGGCCTGTTTCCCCCGGCTTCTCCATGAGCCCTGGAAGAAGGGGTGCCTTTGGTGCTCTGAGGACAGGACAGTCTTGTCTCTAAGGGACAGAGTTCCTAGCACTTGGGACATTTTGCTGTCTGAACAGCACATTTCAGTAGCTAAGTGGGTTAGAGTTAATGAACTCTAGGCTGAATTTTTAACTCCTACAGAGGACCATCCAGTTGTCTCCAATGATCTTTCCTTCCGTACAAATGTCCTCAAATGAAACAGACAATGCTTGTGTTGAAGAACGTCCTCTCTGGTTAGGTGTCTGCAGGCGCCTGTTACAGCCGGCCAAGGTGCTGCACCCACACAGCCGGGCTCTTCTGTCTTCCCAGGCTCCCACAGAGACAGCGGCCCTCTGGTGTGTAATAGCTGCTCCACCAGGCGTGCATCTGGCTTCATGGCCTAGTCACCCAAAAAGCTTAATACACATTCAGAGCCCAACCAAATCTACACAGATGCTGGAGCCTGTAAAATGTGAGGCGGACTCCGATGATGTCAGGTGAAGCCCTCCCTCATGGTAGCACCAGGGACTGGTCATATATTACCTGTTTCAGTTGAGGTCCCCGAGGCCTCCATGAGGCAGGAACTTGATTGGTCAGGGCATGCTGTGACGATTGGTGCCTGTGCCTTTTTCTGAACTCTTTCTTTTTTGAAGGAGTTTGAGCTTCCCCGTGTTGTTGCTTGTGTGGTTCTGTGGCGCGTGTGTCTGCAGCACTCGGCAGAGTGTGTCCCCACTCATCCTTAGCGGGCGGTGTCACAGAAGTGTCCTGGTAGCGGGGTGATGATGGGGTAGATGTCAGGCTGCTGTGTGCCTGTCTGCATGTACATGTGGGGTGGTGTTGAGTGTGCGGAGATGGTGGTACCCCCTTACAGTCTGGTGCCTTAGATCCTGCCCCCCGCTTTCAACTTTCCTGTTCCACCGTTCATCCATGCTTTCTTCTGGGGGTGGTGGATAAATGGAAGTAACACTGGCGGCCTGGCTTTGTGAGTGTTTTGAGCAGACAGATAAGAAACAACATACATTGTTCACAGCTCCAAGAGTGCTCCTACAGGGACAGTATAGTCCAGATTGTTTGCCTTTGGCCAGGAGGGCAAAGCTGTGGTCATGGAGGATAGCGTAGGAGGTAGGAAGGAGGATGGAGTGATGGTGAATGCTGACTTCTGTGGGCCTCAGTGGCCTCTACTCAGACTGGGCCTTCTCACTTCTCCACATGCTGAGAATGGGAACTTGTCTCAGACAACAGATAAATGAACATGGAGCCTTAATAGTCTTTCTGTGCCGGCCCCATGGTTGGATCCTGCACAAGCCTGCCCATCTTTCAGCTTTCTTCCCACTGTGCCTCCTGTGATCCAAGTCTTCATTTCCTCGTTGGCTATGGTGGATAAAATAATATGGACAATGGAATCTGCTTTCTATGGTACAGATTCCGGGCTCCATCCTTACCCTCGTATCTATGGATTTATTTTTATAGGTGAGGTCACACTGTGTAGCCTAAGTTGGCCTGATACTCACAGCAGCCCTCATGTCTCAGTCTCCCAAAGGCTGGGATTACAGTGTGAGCCACTGTGTTTATCCCCTTGTCTTAGGATGGTCACATGACCTTTCTGAACTCCACTGTCCTTGGCGTGGTATGGAGTGGAATAATCAATGCATGGCTGAGAAGATGATGCAGTAAATGGTTGAGAAGGTTCCAGAGTTTCTGATACTTTGAAGACACTTCAAAGTTCTCATCCTTTTTTTTTCTTCTTCTTCTTCTTCTTCTTCTTCTTCTTCTTCTTCTTCTTCTTCTTCTTCTTCTTCTTCTTCTTCTTCTTCTTCTTCTTCTTCTTCTTCAGATTTTTCCATTTGTTTTTGTTTTTAAATGGAAGCTGACTTAACCTGGTTGTTGTCTAGCCTCTAGTTGGCACTGTTAGAACATTTGTGTTTAGATGAACAAGTGGACATGAGGGGGCAGTGGAGGTTTCTGGAAGTTGAATGGGAGCCGTGGCCTTTGTGCTTGGGGAGCAGGTGTAAAGCTGATTGTGCCTCATCAGTCACTGTCCCCCGCAGGTCCCGCCTCTCAGAAGATGCACTATTATAGATACTCGAATGCCGAGGTCAGCTGCTGGTACAAGTACCTGCTCTTCAGCTACAACATCGTCTTCTGGGTAAGTCCTGGGGCGCCGCCATGGTCTCTTGGTTGGAATCTTCATCACCGAGTCCTGATTCTCCCTGTACTTCTGATGACCAGACTCCAGGGAGGCCTTGGGAAGATGTGGGCAGGTTCCATGGTCCCTGTCCTGTTAGAACCAGCCAGGAGTAATGTCATGGGTGCACCAAGGTGACTAAAAGTCAGACTAAGGGCTCCAACCACCACCACCACCACCACCACCACCACCACCCACCCACCCACCCACCCACCCACCCTCACCCTACCCCCTGCCCTGGGTCTGGAGGATTCGGGAAGCCTTTGGACACAGTCTTGGAGTGACGATGCTATCTTCCTAACCCAACAATGCCTTGGCAAGACACGAACAGCCAAGTACTTTGTGGGCAAGGCTCTCTGCTGTATCCTGGGAGGGGATAGTTGAGGAGGGACAAAAAGTGATTTCCTAAGAGTGGTATAAGAGCATCGGAAGGTAGGCAGGACAGCTCCTTGCTGTTGTATATGTGTTTGGCAGAGTACGCTGAGCCAAGGGTGCAGAAAGTAACCTCAGGGACCGAGACCCGAGTATTAATGAAGAGGCAGCCCAGTCGGTTTGAAGAGGAAAGACCCAGTCAGAATAGTAGTTGCAAAAGCTGTCTGGCTGCCTGTGTGGAGGAAGAGGTGAGCTGAGCAAAAGACAGCAGGCAGCCGTGAGGCTGGAGTAAGGTGACACAGGCAGGCCAGGACAGGTGTTGGGAAGCTCAGGCTGCATCGGTCTCAAGGGTGTTGAGTTATTATTTACCTCTTTCTTTTGCAGTGCTGGGATTTGAGCCCAGGGCCGAGTGCATGTTAAACAGGCACTCTACCACTAAGCTACACCCCAGCCCCCTTTAGTTTTTATTTTCAGATAATCTTAATTGTTGTCCTGGCTAATTTAATGTTTGATACAAGCTTGAATCATTTGGGAAGAGCAACTGTCAGTTGAGAAAAGTGCCTCCATAAGATTTGCCTGTAGGTGGCAAATCTGTCATGATTTGGCCCAGCCCATTATAGGTGGTGCCACCTTTGGCTGGTGGTCCTGGGTGCTGTAAGAAAGTAAGCGGGGAAAGCCATGAGAAACTAGTCCAGTAGGCAGCATTTCTCTATAGCTCTTGCTTCAGTTCCGTCTCCAGGTTCCCGTCTGCTTGAGTTTCTGCCCAGACTTCCCTTAGTGACAGACTGTAATCTTCAAGGTAAAAGAAATCTTTTTCTCCCCAAGTCACATTTGGTCATGGTGTTTCATTACAGCAATAGAGACCCTGTTTACGACAGTTGCCAAGGGTGACTTTGAACTTATGATCCCCCTGCCTCAGCGTTCTGATTAGCTAGGATTATGATCATATGCTACCATCCCTGGCTTTCTATTTCTTTAACTCTTAGAAGGTTTTGTTTGTGTTGGGTGGTGTGATCCGGCTTCAGAGTGGCTACAGAGGGAGGGAGAAGGCCGTTTGAGCCATGTTCTGAGGTGGAACTTTGGCGAGGTATGTGTGGAGAGCTTGAGGTGTTCCCTGACTGGCCAATGACATTCTGGAGATGCACCCTCTAATTCCTGCCTTTTCAACTTTGACCTTCCGACGTCATGTCCTGGCGATTTATCTGTGTACTTAGGATTTTCTGTCCCAGAGAAATAGTGTGGACTGCAGTAGTATGGCCGTCCAACTCAGACTTCCCTGTGCTCAGACAGTCTTCCACCAACAACTTCAGCTTGGTTCCCGATGTAGGCGGTACTGGATATCAATGTGTGTGCTTGCTTCCTTCCGCTCTGACAAAATACCAGGTGTGGCGAACTTAAAATCAGACAGGTTGATTTGGGGCACACATTTTAAGAGGTTCCACGATCACCTGGACTGTTGATTTTAGTCTCTGGTTGTGGTGTCAGAGGGCAGTGATGTAGAGTGTGTGGCACTAAATTGCTCTCCTCATGGCCAGGAAGCAAAAGAGGCGAGGGGCTGACTAGATAGACAGTCATGCGCGCCACAGTTATTAGACTGCATTTCGCTCTTTGTATGGAGGGCCTGTGCTCCCTATTTTCCCAAGCAAGTGCCCTGACCTTGCCTGCTTGGCTTTTGACTTGACCTTTGACTCATCCCAATTGCTGCAGGTGGCACAATACCCTCATTGTCAAGGCCCAGTCCCTGGTCATCTTTGTAACAGCTCCAGGGAACACTGCACCAGCAGCAGCAGACTCCAACAGTGGAGTTCAGTGAGTCCAGAACTGTGGCAAGCCTGCTGGGTTGAAGTATGTAGTAGTATTTTAAGGATTTGTGCAGACTTGGCAGTTAGTGTCTGTGGTCGAGAGTTAATCATTTTTGTTAGCGAGCACTGGGGCAGAAGAGTAGGGAACAAACAGAAATAGTAAGAAAATGTCCTCATGGATGGGAGTGGAAGCGGGAGGCTGGGCCCCTTGGTGTTGGCCACCGTCCCCTGTGTTCCTGGCAGGGATTCACTTACCTTGGGCAGGATGCAGCAACATGGAGGGAGGCCCAAGTACTGAAACTCACAGAGACCTGGGAAGCTCCCAGTTCAGTGAGGAAAGTAAGCCAGCCTGCTGTGGACACCTGGACACAGTCTGGCCTCCCTCCTGAACCTAGTGACCTTGAAAAGCCTGGTGTTATCATTGAGAGTTGCTCTCAGCTTCCTGTTGTGGCTCCCTTGCGAGGTTTCAGAAAAGGTAGAAAATGGCATGCTAAGTCCATATGGCTTCTGCGTTTTCTTTTTTAGATGCAGAAAGTAGAGAAATGTAACAAGCTTGGTGCTTCCATCATCCAGCTTCAGAAATGAACTTCTTACAGCTGGTTTTGTTTCGTCTTCATCCCCACCCTCTCTTGGATTTCTTTGAATCAAAGCCTGGATCATTTTCCACATGGAGCATTTGTGTTCGCTTTGTTGGGGTGGGGAAGGACTGCTCAGTAGGCCAGCTTGAGTGTGCAGATGGCAGGCTGATGTTCCTGTGACCAAGTTGAGGTATGGGACAGAATAGCTGTATTGAGCCGTCGGAATAGATGGCAGCCTGATGTTCCTGCGACCAGGTTGAGGTCATAGGACAGAATAGCTGTACTGAGCCGTCGGGATAGATCTTTGTAGCACTCCAGTGATTTTTGTCAGTTTGCTTTTTTCTGACTTTGAGACTGGGGTTCCCAGAGCCCATCCTCCACTTGGTAAGAAGTGGATGCTGTTCTCTGCAAGCAGAGAATTGGGCTTCAGGAAGTTCTTTACACAGGGTGATGCAGAAAGTAGCTTCTAGCCAGCCTACCACTTTGTTTGAGAACACTAGTACTGTTTTACCCCTTCCCCCGCTCTCCACACACAAACTTTTCTACTTGTGCTAGACCTGTTTCTAGTTTAGAGTCTCAGTTCAACCCAGGGAAACACAAATCAAAACCACAGTATGATACTACCTCACACTCACTAAGGTGTGATATGTTTCCTTTTTTTTTTTTAAGCAGAAAATAAATGTTGATGTGGATGTGCAGAAATCTGTGACCTTGTACATTGTTGTCATGGAAACACGTAATGATCCATGATTGCAGTCTGATGTTACTTCAGGTTAACAATGAAATTACCATGTGCTTCAGCAACCCCACTTCTGGATATATACTCAGGAGAACTGAAAGCAGAATGTCAGATGTCTGTTCTCCAGTATGCACAACCTTATTCACTGTAGCCAAAAGGTAGAAACAACCTGTGGCCATTGATTGTCCATGGATAAGGATATGTTCCATATACATGTCAGGAGAGCCTTGGTCACTCTAGGACACATGCTACAGTGTAGATGAACCTTTAGAATATTATATTAAGTAAAATAACCCAGATACAAAAATAACAGTCGGATTCCACTTCAGGGTAGATACTGACTGGATGGCCCCACTAAGTAACCAGAGTAGTCAACAGGCAGACACAAAGAGTGGAATTTGGTTGCCAGGTGATGAGCAAATGGGAGGGTCATAGTCCATCTGTGCCGCTCGTTCAGATCACCTCCAGTTGGGTCACCTCTAACCAGTAGAAGTTGATTTGGCACATGGTTCTAGAGCAACAGCTCTCAACTTACGTGGGTTGTGACCTCTGGGGCCTCAACAGCCCTTTGACAGGGGTTGCCAAAGACCTTTGGAGAACACGGGTATTTACATTGCGTTTTATAACAGTAGAAAATTACAGGTATCAAATAGCAGTGAAAATAAGTTTATAGTTGGGGATCACCATAACGTGAGGAGTTGTATTAAAGGGTAGCAGTGTTTTTTAGGAGGGTTGAGAACTACTGTCCTAGAGGCAGAGAAGGGCAAGATTGGGGAAGCCATAGCCTGGTGGAAGTGTCACATGGGTGGAAGAATGAAAGAGTGCAAAGGGAGGCCAAATTCAGCCACCCCCTCACTCCCCTGCAGTGCTGGGCATGAGCATGGGGCCATGTATGTGCTGGGTATGTGCTTTGCTACTGTGCTCTATCTGCGTCCTTCAAACTCAGTTTTATACCAGGCCCACTCCAGCAGTAATGAATTAATCCATTCATCCTCACGACCTACTGCCCTCCGGAAAGCCCCACTTCTCAACACCGTTGCAATGGGGACAAAGTCTCTCGCACATGAATCTTGGGGAACACAATCAACCCATAGCAAGGAATTATTGTTTAAGGGGTCCGGTTTCACCTTTGTAATATAAAAAGAGCTCTCTGGATGGGTGGTGACAATGACTGGCCCTGTTGGGATGTACTCTATCTCAGTGAGCTGTACACTTGAACATGGTTAAAATCAATTTTATGTCATGTGTGTTTCATAGAAATATAAGAAGAAATGTCTCATTTTAGCAGACAGGAAAAGAAACTAGGGAAGCAAGGCAGGAGGAACTGTGGACTGCCCTGTCTATGTTCATACACAGCTCAGTTTTGTAAAGAAGGCACCCTGTCCTGAATTTGCTTCTTGAATGTTCTCGACGAGTATGATCCACAAGTCAAGATTGCTTGCTCCCATAAGCATTGACTGTAATCTCCCC